GTCATCAGGAGGCATCCCGTCGCTGTCCTCAGTGCGGTGTTTTGTGCAGTCTGTAGCTTCGTCCACTGCGTCCTACTAGTCCCAGGCGACCACACTGGCGCTGCGTAGTTCAGAACCGGCCGGCCTATTGCCTTGTATGTTGCCAGCAACGTTTCTTTGTCTTTGCCCCAAGTACTGCCGGCTAGCGACTTGAGGACCTTGTTGCGGCTCTGTACTTTATTGACAATAGCGGTTGAGTGCGCAGAGAAGGAGAGCAGGCTGTCGAAAGTTACTCCGAGTATTTTGGGGTTATTCACCGTCGGAATTGGTGTGTCATCGACGTGAATCCCCAGCGGTAGCCTGACCTCCTTCGTCCAGGTTGTGAACAGGGTCGCGGAGGATTTCGTAGGGGAGAGGGCTAGACACTTTGCAGTGAAGAAGCGAGAAAGTTCGGAGAGATAGCCGTTTACTTTCGAACACAGGTCATCAATTCCATTCCCAGTCGCCATAATCGAGCAATCGTCGGCATAAGAGACAATCGAGACTCCCTCTGGTGGTTGAGGGAGCTTTGAAATATAAAAGTTAAACAGTAGCGGGGAAAGGACACCACCCTGAGGAACCCCCTGTTTTATTTTTCGCTGCTTACTCGTTTTGTCTCTGAACATTACCGACGAATGTCGACCACTTAGATAATTTGCCGACCACCGTTTGAGCCTCTGTGGGAGAGAGGAGGCCTCTATATCTTCTAGTAGCGTGGAATGGCAGACGGTGTCAAACGCCTTTGACAGGTCCAACGCTACTAGAATCGTTCTCTCACAGGGACGGTTACGGTTAAGGCCACGAGTTATCTGAGTGTTTATGGCGTTAAGTGCTGTTGTTGTGCTGTGCACTTTACGGAAACCATGCTGATGCTTCGCTGGGGTCAGGTGATTTGTGAAGTACGGGAGTAGCAAGGCCTCGAGTGTCTTCGCTACCGGGGAAAGGAGTGTAATCGGACGATACGAATCTCCTTTGTTTGCAGGTTTCCCCGGTTTGAGCAGTGGGACCACTCTCCCCACCTTCCAGATGTCTGGGATGATGAGAGTGGCCATTGACAAATTGAGGACCTCCGTTAGGTACGCTACCCCCGCAGGACCCAAATTTTTCAGCATCAGCATGCATATACCGTCGGGACCCATGGCTTTGGAGGCTTTCGCCTTCCCGATGGCCACCTGAACTTCACCGCAAGTGAAAGCAAGGGGGGCACAATTTGTTGGCAGTTTGTGCAGCCTTCTGGTCACTCGACGCTTGGCTTTGTCCACCGGAGGATGCAGTATGAACTGCCGGCTAAAATAGCTCGCGCATCGCTCCGGGTCCGACGAAGCATGGTCGCCGAAGGAAATTTCGACTCTGTCGTCGTGCTTCGTCGGATTAGACAATGACCTCACGGTTGACCAAAGCTTGCTCACACCAGAGGTGAAGTTGCAAGTCTTCAGATGCTCCTCCCACTTCTTCCGCTTATGTACGTTTACAAGTTGCCGAATCTCCGCGTTGAGATCCCTGATACGGGGATCTCCGGGATCGGCCTGACGAAGGCTATCACGCTCATTTGCTAAAACGGCCGCTTCGGCAGGGAAGTTTGGACGTGGGTCCGATATGCACCCTGCCGGTATGAAGCGGGCTGCAGCAGCAGTGATAGCCCTGCGGAACTTACGTTCACCGAGGTGGACGTCGGTTGGTGTGGGGAGCGATGTGAAGGTGTTTTCAGTAAACTCCGCGTAACCTTTCCAGTCAGCTTTGGAAAAGTTGACATAGGTCCGGTGTTTGGCGGAGGCAAAGTCGGTTGGTTTATCAATCGAGATGACTATGGGTAGATGGTCTGATGCTAGAGTCAGCATAGGTCGCCACGTTATGCTGTTTATCAGACCAGCGCTGACTATTGTGATGTCTGGCGAGCTACTGCAGTTACCCATAATCCTGGTGGGTGCGTCGTCGTTCATTGTGCAGAATGTCGAATCGTCTATCTGCTCAGCCAAGTCTGTTCCCCTACGATCGTTTGACAGGCTTGAGTGCCAAAGATCGTGGTGCGCATTAAAGTCACCTACTACCATACGGTTTTCACCTCTGAGGAGCGCACCTATATCAGGGTGATATCCTGCCGGGCAGCAGGTGACAGGGGGTATGTATATATTAAATATTTCGAGCTCGACATCGCCTGACCGGATAGCGATGCCCTGACATTCTAGGGTGGTATCCCTGCGGTCGATGTCTGCTTCGATAAGACGATACTGCACGGTGTGGTGCGTGATGAACGCTAAGCCACCACCATTATCTCGCTCGCGATCTCGACGGTGCACGTTGTACCCGGCACAATTCAACAAAGTTGAATTGCTGTGCAACTTCGTCTCTTGGACCGCAGCTATTAATATACCATGCCGACACATAAAGGCGGTTATCTCCTCAATCTTGCTCTGTAGCCCGTTACAGTTGAATTGGAGGAGCTTCATGTGGTTCGGGAGACGTGTTGTGATGTGGGGTGTTAGTGAGGTGTAAGTTCTTGCCGCCGTTGGCTGTGTGTGCTGCTGGGGTGATTGCCTCCTTGTGGTGGTATTGGGGGGCGTCGCAATTGATGCCTGCGACCGGGCAGCGCAACACGGGCCCTCGAAGTTCCCCGTCCAATCTCGCGTGGTGCGCAGACCTGAACATGCCCTAAAGTGGCACCAGCCAAGGCAGGTGTTGCATTTGACTGATGTCACATTACGGAATATTCTGGTCTGACATACCGTGCAGATTGTAGGGGGAACCAAGAGTTGTTGGCGGCGGCGTGTGGGTGGTGGTGCGGTTGTGTGTGTTATGTGGTCTGTGGTGGCTGTGGTATGTTGTTGTGTTGTGGCGACTGTGTGTGGTTGCTGTGTGAGTGTGTGGGGCTGCACGGGCGGACTGTGGGTTGCCGTGGAGGCTGCTCTATTTGAGCAACAGGGGGCCACGTACGACGTGGTCCACTGTCTGTGTGTCCGTAATCCCGAGCAGACCCTGAGGTGACTCCACCCCTCGCAGGCATTACACTTGACTGAGGTGGAGTTGTGGTGTAAACGTCTTCGGCATACACAGCAGGTGTATATTTCTGGCCCAGGGTTTGACTCGATGCCAGCCCTGAGTAGGAGAATGCGTAGTGAATGTTGCCCTATGGACGGACAACTTCTGAGATACTTCGCCGACCTAAACGGGGTTAGATCGCCGAAACAACAGCCCTTGGTCGGGTGAAACCCGAGTCATTCCGGTACGTAGAACCGGCTGTCGTGGGAATGACTGTCTATGGTACTTACTTCTGGTGCTTAATCGGTCTGATATCTGTATCTGATCGCTTCTGGCAATCGTTCCTCTTCATCAGCCAAAGGTAGACAGTTATGTCATTCGCTTATTAGGCTGTAACGATTTGCAAATGCATTCCGGTGTAAGTAAGAGACCATATAAGTGTCAAGGGTACCAATGGACATAGACCGTTTTGCAGTATCACCGACGATATGTTTTCATGTACATAAGAATGTATATTTACAGGACCTGCGTATTTATCTATGTACTTGCATAGTTAAGAGTGGTGGAGAGCAAGAAAAATGAAATACGGATGCAGTACTGGCAGTTATCAGTTTTCTTAGAATATGTCCTATAAAATAGTATTAATAATTAAAATGTTATTAGCATTTTTCTGCAATACATTTAACAATTTTAATTACATACATTCAGTCGTACTCGAAGATTAAGTTTATTCACCAATTTCTGAAATATTGAATTGTTCAACCCATTCTTAAATTGGGCGTTCTTCAACTATTTGCTGAGATTGGGCGATCTTCCACTTAGCGAACGATACATAGTAGGTAACATATAATAGGTACACATGTATACAAGCTTAACTTATATAACTTGTTACTAATATATATTTCAAACTCCAGCTTTGTTCAAAGTTGCATCAAAAACTTATATAGCTATATAACTTATAAAGAATTTCTACAGCATCAAATTAGAGTTGCAGCTTTTTATAAAAAACTAGGGGACTGAAATTTGTGTTAAGTTGTTTTCAATTATTCCGTAAAGAAACCAAAAATTTTACCTAAGGCATTTCTTTATTAAGGCAACAATATTTGTATGCATATGTTATGTAGGTATAGCGACAGACAACACATTTAACGTCCTCACTGTATGTCAAGGATGCGCGCAATTAAAGTCAAGGATATAATACATATGTATGTCCATATGAAAAAGTTAGTTAAAGCAACTACAACACATTCTTACCTCAATGTTACCCATAGTTTGGAAGGCCGTGAATACGAACATAAAGCCGAAGCCCAATATTATGACATTGACGAACTTTAAATCCATGTTTCAGATGGTGTGTTGTGCTTGTGGTTGTATTAAAAACTTAATTTAAATGCAAAATTATTGTGCAGGACGTTAGCTTCAGCGAACGTTACGTCGTTAAATCACTTTTATATTTATTTTATTTAGTAGTTTTTGGGTGGTTATGGTGGTGGGTCGGTTACAATTCGTGCGTGCGAACAAAAACTTGGTATATCTAGAGGCACACAAAACCGTACGCCCAGTAGAAACTACCTCCACTTCCGCAAAAGATGTCCTCGTTCGCCCACAAAACACAATTCCGTTTCAATGTTAAGGCAAAATGCTTACAACCGATATTTTAGTATAAATTTAATGCATATGTGTGTTTAATACGGGCAGACTATAGTGTATTCGAAATATCAAGCTATGGCGTCAGTGTTTATGAGTTTGTAATGCTTAGCTGATTAAACCTCCTAAACGAAGCAAGTAGAAATTGTATAGTCTCTTTTAAAGTCACACCATAAAATACGACAGACAGCTTTAACAACGTGGGTGTACAATTGCAAGTGATCGGCGAGTGGGCGGTAACTGCTCAGCGGGTATTAGCTCATGCCAATCTTTGATGGAGGCAATTTACTTTCTTTCATTTATCACTTATAGATGTTAAAACACATTATTTGTGCGAAAATAATGTATTAGAATTGTGGGAATATATGTATAAGGTATTAAAGCAATATTAAAATAGAAACACAGATTACATAGCGCCCGATATGAAAATAAATTCCAGTGCTTATGAAGTTGGCGAACAGGCGTTTACCAGCAGTAATATACACAAAATTAACTGAACCGACGCTGACAAAGAACGACGCAGTAGTTACGTTTTAAGCGACGTTGTCAGTAGGCGAAAGCAAAATGAGAACTGGAATCAGAAGCTCCAATTCTGATATGAAGCTGCTCCAAACGCAGAGACTGCCACGAGAGCGTCTACGCACACATTTCCACAAAGGCTTGTACGAAGAAGAGCGATAAGAGGCGATTGTGCGCTGTAACTTTGTGTTTTGGTGGTTAAAAGTTGCCTTGTCTGATGGGGGCCGCAAATCATCAGCCCCATGGTATGGTTTTGGAGGATTGTATAAAAACAAAAATACCGACAAATCTTGTTTCAAAATACACATCGAAAAGTAAATAGAAAGCAATCAAAAGTGAGAAGAAAATGTTTCCGAACACTTCCTAAATTGAGGTTACCAGACTACGCTTTAGAGAAGGCTTATAGACTAATGCTGAAACTAGTGGGGAACGTAAAGCCGCTGGTACGTAAACTCGAGTCAGCTTACCACCGAATGTCTGATGAGGAAATTGCAGCATTATTGCATCAGCACTGACCGTCAGGTGACCGGTCATTTGCCAGTAAGATTTCTTGTAGGGCAAAATACATCGGCGACCAAAATCAAAATTTTTGGATTTTACACAGACCGTCTGTGCAGACATAAAACGGCGAAATGACATGGTCTTCGCATCGCGGTGTATGTACTGTGTAGTGCATTTTGCTCATTATCAGAGGGCGATGTAAATGTAAACTCAGCAATCCAGAATTTTTCTGGAGTTGTAGTCCGTAACTTAGATATTCTCACACGGTACAGTATTACGATTGATTTATGTCAAGACGCTAAAAGTTAATCCATTTAGACTTATGTACAGTTTACGAAAGTTCAATACGGCAACTTTTCAATTATTGGGTGAAATAAAAGAAGGTAAGGTCTTTGGATTTACCTTCTTTGGGAATATCACGCAGGTCCTATTGCCAGCTGCTATCATGTCTAACCGCAATATAAAATCTTTATAAATTTTACATCTGGCATCTTGACTTGGATCAAATTCAGTGTTGTGTAAGATCAAATATTCTTAAAAAAAATTAATTACAAAATGTTACATACATTATGTGATGCTAGATTAAAGTTATATGATATTTGAAAACCAAACATGAAATTGATGTTTATAAATCTTTCGATTCAATGTTAATTAACTTTAACTTCCGATCATTGTCCAACACTTTTGTGGTCGCCTAAAAACGGACTATAGTTTTCTACGAATGTAAAAGGTTGTACAAATCAGGGCTATTTTAAAGGAAACACTGTGCCGCATATACAAATTTATACAATTCGGTGCTAATATTTTTATAAACAAAAACTAAAACAGTGAAGAGGACATATACATATAAAAAAAACCGCATACAAAATACACACAATAATAAAAAGTGATTCGTCAAGGCCACTCGTTCGAACGAATTGTATACCCGCTAATTGAATTAAGCCAAGCATTACTTCAGATTTTCATACACATAACCACTGCCGTTTCCGGAATAAAATTGACAAAAAAAAAAAATGGAGCCACATCTTCTACAGCAACTCATCAACGCAGCTGAGAAGGCAGCCAATATTGCGCGTGTCTGCCGTTCCAATGAAGCTCTGCTTAAGTTGTTGGTGCAGGAAAAAACTGGACCGGATGCGAATGCCCGCTTTGAACACGATTTTAAAACCCTCGCTGATGTGCTAATTCAAGAAACTATCAAACACGATATTTGTGAGTTGGTAAGTAACATCTAATGGTGTATTAATAAAGATATTTAATATATCCTTCCCCTGTTTCTACCCTAGTTTCCTGCCATGCGGGAAGGCATTAAAGGTGAAGAGTCGCCAAACTTCACCAATGTAGAGGGAGAGTCAGTGACTATTGTAGTGGGCGAAACGGCAGAGGAAACAGCGCAGTGTCTGGCAGCGATACTAAATGGTAAGTATTTGCATTTTTCACATTTGTCTTTTGTATGTACATATGTATATATTAATGCAAGTTTTTTACGTTGCAGCTGAAGCAGCGGAAATACTTGCTAGTGAAGTACATCGCGATGTAGCATACGAAGAAGAGGTTCTTGGCGAAATACCAGCACTGCCAGCAGACCTAGATTATAGCAATTTGGGTATTTGGATAGATCCAATTGGCAAGTATATGAGATTTTTGGTTATAACTTTCTGGTCTAACCAGGCAACACTCTTCTTTATCACCAGATGGCACTGCTGAGTATATTTCAGGGGATACCATTTTCACAGACTTCCCAGGTATAACTTCAACCGGCTTAGACTGTGTAACCGTGCTGGTTGGCGTGTACGATCGCACGACTGGTGAGCCTGTTATAGGAGTTGTATCGCAGCCCTTCCATAATAAATTAGACGAAAATGTATATCGTTCGCTAGTGTTTTGGGGTATTTGTTTACCGGAATTGCATGCGAACAATTGTCAATTTGAGCGACCAACGCGTGACAATCGGTTAGGCATATTCTCCAGCTCTGAGAATGGTGATATTCTTCAACGCATCATGGATTTAGGCTATGAGTTCGCATTTGCCGCTGGCGCTGGTCATAAAGCAGTAAAAGTGATCACCTGGGAAGTAGATTTGTATTTGCTGAGTAAGGGTTCCACATTCAAATGGGACACTTGCGCACCACAAGCTATATTGCGATCTTTAGGCGGTAATATTTTTAGTTATCGCGCAAGCATCAACGAATGCAAACCAATAGCATTAAGCTATCTGGAGGAGGGCGAGGAAATTGAAAACCTTAAATGCAATAAAGATGGTTTGATTGCCGTGCGTGATGTTAGCTTAATCGACGAATTGTTGGCAAAATTTAAGTAATAAGGGGAAGAGTTTAAAATATATTAAATACATACATACATATATGTATGAGGTTAACAAGATTTTGAAGGAGGTAAGGAGAAGCTAAAATTCTCAAATACGTTATCATGTTTTAATTCACTTTCGCCTTGTACTCCAATATAAATGCATTTCGGTAAGACTATTTTGTAATTAGTTTTAAAATTTTCTAGTACATACAACCTATGTACTCTGTGGCGTCGTATATGGAGGTTATGTTAAACATTACGATTTAAGTAATAAGTGCAATCTTAAACATGAATTTTAGCTGCTTAATGTGAGGTGGTTGTTATCGAGCTTGCTTGTGTTTATTTTTTGTAAGCTGTTAGACTATAACATACATAGTTCAGTATGTTTATTTAACCAACTTTTTAATGAAGTATGCATGTATCTATTATGGCTGATGTTCAAGAGTTTTTGAACAGTAAATATACTACCCTGACCACTTTTAGTGCATACATGCCACACTTTAAGTTCAGAAATATTTCAAAAAGCATGGGTGGTATATACTTAGCAAATATTAAATTCATAGCAGACAATTGAAAGTATTTGTATCTTCCAACGTGGAACCACGATTCTTCCACTTTTAATTGATCTTAGAAAAGTACTCGAATATCAATATTTTTAGCAATTAAGCACTTTGCCCACAATAGCCCAATTTAAATATTGTTAAAATATTTTACTCTATTTATTGTTTTGTTACGTCCATTATACAATTAAATAAACTTCTACACTCTTTACTATAGAACATGACCGATACACAAAAAGAAATTAAAAAGAAACACTAATTAATTGTAATAAATGTAAAATAAATTATTTTTCGCAATGCTCTGTGGTTTCACGGCAAAGCTGCGTACATACATTTTTATGTTTATTATTTAGTTAGCTGCGGAATAGTTTTAAATACATTTAATAACAACAGACGTACTTGAAAAAATGTTAATAATTAAGAGCAATATATCTAATCTTTATAAAACTATTTATTCAAATTGTTCATTAAATATCAAATGGCTGAGCAAAAGACAGCAGCGTACAATCCTACAGGGAAAGGACAAAAAGAAGGGCACTAAAAAAACCACAACGCAAAATTAATAAGATGAAGACTTAAAAAGTTATTTTGTAGATACGGTGGCAGTAGTAACTTTTCGCCTTATCTGTAAAGGTTTAGTTTTATTCGGATATGTTGGCATTTACAGTACACTTATGTTTTAAATAAATTGTAATGGAAGCTGTTTTTATGTGTATTCTTTTCAGTCCTCTGCGTAACTGCTGCTGTACTTTACATATGTATAAATAATATTGACTATTTTTTCTTTTACTCTGTACGCATAAATATTTGCGTTTGTGCTTATAATTTATAAATTAGACTGTGGCTATTACAGTATGTTGTTACGTAATATAAATATGAAATTTGTAGGCACTTAATTAAGTTATTCGTAATGGTGAAAGGAATAATCTTCGATTTGAAAATATCGTATATGCTTGGCTCTCTGACTTCCCTGCCGCATTCCGCGCACAGTAATTTTTGCAGATTAGAAGTCTGCATTTTCAAAATATATTCTCAATATAGACAATAAAAGGCGAGCACTTAAAAGTTCTTCTTCATGGACATTTCGTGGGCCTTGCGCAAACGTTGCCTTAATTCGCTTGGAAAACGTTCGTAGCATTTCTTGCAAACGGGCTTCTCATCGTATTCGTAAAATTTGGATTTCTGCGTCATTTTCATATCACAAACGGAGCAAGCGAAATGATGCACACACCAAGCTTTATTGAGTGCAGTGAATACTATAATTAAGCCAAATCAAAAATATTAGTATATTGTGCATGTCAGCCAAAATTGTATAAAATTACCATCGCCTGCTATGACTTGATTGCAAACGAAGCATAAATTGCCGAACAATTGGTGGTAATGTGTCTCACAATAGGCCAAACCGCGCTTTTCGTAATGCCGATGGCCCAAGAATGGTTTTTCGCATTTGGCGCACACAAAATGCTATAAAAAAAACGCACAATAAGAAAACAACGAAATATGAACGTTATAGCTTTGTTAAAAAATACGAAGTTGTGAAAATAAAATAAAATTAAAAATTCACCTCCACATGCCAATGCTTGCCTAAAGCGGTGACAACTCGTTCCTCGATCGGACGTCGGCATGCACCACAAATCGGTATACCCATCTTGTCGTGACAGCGTAAGCAATACAATTCGTTCTAAAGATATTAACAAAAAATGGAAATACTAGCAGATGTATATGCGTGTGTAATAGTGTAGCCTCAGGTCCTTACCATATCGTTGGCCGTTAAGCCCGGTCGGCTCTTGACTTCACGTGCTGTCGAGTCCAGCTCCACACCACAGGCAGTGCAGTTAAAATGATAGCCGTGATAGACTTCGCCACGAAAACGCAAGGGCGCGTCGTCTATTACGCCGCTGCAATTATGCAGAAATTCGTAAATTTTTAAAATACTTCAAACACAAAAGAAAGCCTTTACTCTCTTCAGCAATTGCATTCAACTTACTGACACTTATGGCACATATAACGACCCGTAATCTCGGCCTTCACTTTGGCATTGCACTCATGGCATAAGGCACGATTCTGATTGCGTATAAAGCCGGTATCGGCCAACTCTTTGGCACACATTTGGCAGCGGAAGCACTGTGGATGCCAGCTAGCGCCCATTGCTTTGATAACACGTCCAATTACGAACTCGCCACACTTATTGCAACACGGTGCGAAAAGCACATGGAAATCACGCTCACAGTATTTACGTCCTTCGAATTCGTAGAAGATGCCATCTTCAAAAGGTCGGAAGCATTGCGCACAGCTGCAACAAAACAGGAAGTATTTAAATAATAAAAGTGTATGATTTTATTTTGTGGTTTACAACTTACACAAAACACTGGGTGTGCCAGAGTTCACCGTTCGAGTTGACGATCTTCTCGTTGGGCTCGAATCCGTCCGCACAGCGGGCACAATGCATAGCAGCTAGCGACATGTCAGCTGCTTGTACTCTAAAAAGAAAAAAAATTTATATATTTGTTGTTATCCTTTCACAGGAAATTCGAGTCAATTATTGAATTATTATACTTTATAAGTTACATTTTTATTTTTGAAGGCATATTTAATGTTTGAAATTCTTAAATGTTCACTTTTAACGTTTAGTCTACACTAAACTGATAAGTAACTTCGCCGACACCGACAAGTCTTGAAAACTCTTTTTTATCGTTTGTTTCTTTATTTTCCACATGCTAAGTGATTCATTTGTATTCCCTTCGCATACGAAATACTTATGGTATTCACAAGTGACCGACCTTCAACTTTGTGTAAAAATATTTTTTGATAAGCTTCTACATATGTAAATACATACATTTATTTTATCAATAAAAAAAAAAACCGCGTCACTTCCTAAAAATAAATATATGTGCATACTTATGTATTTATGCCTCAACGATAATTTTTGGGTATGGACTTATGCATTGCTGGAGTTTATAAGCAATTGCTTAACTTAAGCTTAAGCAACTTAAGTTACCTAAGTGCTGTTGTAATAGCACGTTGTTCCGTTTAGTGTTTGTAGAAGTACCTAGATATGTACATACATATATGATGATCCTTGACCGTAACTCATAGTGTCCGTAAGCGTAAGTTGTTGATTAACTTCGGACCACGGCGATAGCAAAATAAAAATAATACGCCTTACATCGAATGCAAAGTATAGTCTGTTTTTAGCCCCTTTATGCTTATGCTTTTTTTCATTTCTTCAAGTTCATCAAGGTAAGGTGACTCCTCTGTCGGGTTGCGGATTTCATACCAAGAAGCTAAGCTTCACAATATACATACCTATATTTTGTTTAAAATGTGTAACCGCTATAATCGGATCTTCACTATGATATTATTTAAAAAGTTGCCTTTTATTTTGGACGACGACTACTTTTACCTGTTTTTTTTTTTGTTTAATAGAGCTTTGATAAACAATGAAATATGTATATTATGCAAAGATTAATGTACAAATATGAGCAATTGCATCACTACCATGAACACCAACTAACCACCAGGTGATTTTAATAATTTATGAAAATATTTTGAATTTCGCTTGCGTTTCTAAACCGAAAGTTGTTCGCCCACAGATCACATAGAAACTAAATCAGGGCAAACTGAAGGTGCGCTACTAAAATGGATAACGGCCGTGTGCTGCACGGAATGGCGTGACCATCGAGAATATTGCAAATAGAAAATACAACTCGCTCAATGTGTCAAAGCTTTGCGGTAGACAGATGGTGGCAAGCGCGCTCCATATTCAAATGAAGCCTTTATTACTCGCATTCACATAAGTATATATATACATATGATTGTGAGCTCCAACATAATTTATTGCAATTCAGTGACATAAAAAGGGCAGCTATATGTATGGGTACAATGTCATATAGTTATATGCATATGCATATGTATACAATCATACATAGTACGTGTACTTTGTGTATCCATTTGTAAAGACATTGATGTGACTCCCCGTCAGAAAGAAGATTTCGGTCTCACCTACTTATGGTATACATATGAATGCATATTTGTACATACTGCGGTTATGCCTGTGGGGAGATTACTCACAAATTGGCAGAAGTTCAAAGAATTTAAAAACATATTTTTTCTCAGACTGACGATGTACATATATATGTATGTATGTTCATGTTTAATGTATTAGGGCTGGGAGGTCTATCCGGTTATTCGAATCGGGGACCGTAACGGTTATGATCTTTATATTAAAAACTAAGATTAAATTTTTAAAATTGTATTTATATTTTTTAATTTATGAATTTTATTTCTTCGATTTTTCTTTAACCTTTATTTTCAGTTTTATTTATCATCATCGAGGCGAATTAATATAAGGTGATAGCAGGCGTACACAAATAAAAATTTACACGTATTTTGGTCTTGCTTTGGCGGCATAATTATATAAATTCGCCTTGATCATCATATATAATTTTAAAGTCAAAAATGCAGACATAATTTTCTCGGTAAAAATGATCGAAAAAATAAAAATCCAAAATTTTACGATTGTTATTGATTTAAGAAATAATGATTTAAAAATACTGATATTTAATAGTTATTTTCGGTCTCGTGATTAAAAAATTCTAATATCCGGATAACAAAATGAACGGAAATTATTTATCCGGATATCCGGATTTTCGATACCAATTATTTGCGTAGTAATGAGTGTACTATAATTTATTTTGCAACACAGTAGAGAACAATTTTACTAATCTCTTCAAAACTTCTAGAATATCCGGATATAAACAGAATATACGGGTGTACGAATATCCGAACGGATATGCGAATATATGGATAGCCTAGTATATGTATATGTATGTATGTACACACATGTAGATGTATACATGCATCAAGAATAATATGCATGTAGGATTATATCATGTCATGTTTGGCTTTAATTAAATAACAATCAAACTCGCAGTGAAGGCGTTTGTAGTACATATAGCCTTCAGTTATGTGAATATAGTTTACTTAAATATACCGCTCTCACATCCCCTTTTACGTTCCTGCCGTTAGGACTAACTACTCATCTTTTGCGCCTATTTTTCGAGGCCTTGTGGAATTTAACAATATCTCAAAGAGCTTAGATATCGACTTTTCGTTTCCAAGAAGTCTTTTTAAATCAACTCTTGAAACCTATTTTCGTAATTGTACATATACTAGTCACCGTTAATACTTTTTAGCCTACATCTAGTCTGTAAGATTGTAAATCATAGACTGAATAAAGATGAATATGAATATGAATAAATAGGTTTTATACTTCCAGCCAAACATTTAGTGTTTGAAAGCAACGATTTTTTTTATACGATCAATGAATGATCCAAGCACATGTAGCCAAATCCATTTGGTTTTATTTTTATGTTTGTAGGTATGTAGCAATTTGCGTACATATGTATGAATATCCATAGTAAAAAAATTAAGATACTTGGCTATAAATAGAATTTTGTGTTGGTGGATGACGTCATTGATGAGCAAATACATCTGGGGTGGGCAAGCGTTTTAATTAGAGATTGCGTTCACAAGCCTTTGCTGCTACTATGTCCATTGAAATTTGAAAATTATGTGTAAGTGTATTAAAAATAGTGCATTCTATGCTGCGGAATTTTCAATTATACACTACAATACAGTGCACCAGTACATACTACCAAGCTTTTTGACGTGGGCGTCATTCATAATAAGCAAATGAATGAAATCGATTGGAATGCAGACACCGAACTAAGTTGGTTTGATGTTTGTTGGTGCTCCAATTTACAAGGTTAAACCTGTTATGATCTGGTATTAAGACGTATGTTATAAATGGCTTACTGAACGGGCGGCATATTGGGCGTTTACTAATTGCAATAATGCACGCTTGTTCCAAATGTATGCACTTGTTTTCTAAGCACTTGGCGCTACACAACTAACACACAGCACGTTTGTATTTCAACTACTTTCCATACGATTTCGGAATGACCGATTGCTAAATTGCTAGTGTTGGCTGAATATTGGTAAGAGCCCACTCGCGATCTTCGCTTTTAACCCCAAATTAGGCAAATCAAGATTTTTATGTTTCCGCTGTCTTTCCCAATTCAAGAGGATGTCGACTGCTTCTCTGCCACTGTTGCTTGTAGAAATTCCGCACTTAACTTACTTTGGTTTTAACTTATTTACACAAGTTTCATTTACCTGTTGCACTTACTATCAATTCTTTAATTTTGCTGACCCAAATTGCAAAAAAACAGAGAGATATTTCCAAAAATTGAACAACACGAATGAAATCAAAGCAGACAATGAAAAAATTGTCAAATTGACAAGATGAGCTCAGGTGAAAATAATGCTGCCACCTGAGCTATAGATTTAATTCAGCGCCACCTGTTGGAAAAATCAAAAAATAGCTGTTAAACAGGAATTCTGGCCGGGTGGCTATGCTACTGGGGCATTAATAAAGTAAACAAAAACAGCTGATTATTATTATTACTGGAATAAATCAAATTGGCTTCAATCAACGTTATGAATCTTTTTCGCAGCGCAACTCGTAAGTTTAACATTAACAATGGAGTAAAAATTAAGAAAAAATTGCATTGTTTACCTAGTTACATTGCGCTCCGCCCAATTGCACAGAATGTCAGCCGCGCCACAAACTGCGCCCATAGAGGCAGCAATACGTGCAGCACTCACAGTCAGTTTACAACCAGTGCATTTGGAAGTTATCAACGAGTCATATATGCATAATGTACCCAAAGGCTCGGAAACCCATTTCAAAGTGCTGATAGTATCTGAAAAATTTGATGACTTATCATTGATAAAGGTATAATGTTATAATTCCTTGTTTAATTTATATTTTTATAACAATGTGACTTCATCTCTTTTAAAGCGTCACCGTTTGGTAAATTCTATTGTGAAAGAAAAGTTATCGGGCGATTTTGTGCATGCACTATCCATTGAGGCTAAAACCCCAAAGCAGTGGGATGGCAACTACACTGTAGAACCCAGCCCAAATTGTCGCGGCGGATTCGGTAAATAATTGCAAAATGATGTAAACTTACACTGTTTAAAATATCTATATTGTTAACGAAATATGCAATGTATACAATTGATGTAATAGAAGGGAACGTCTGTGATTAAAAAATTCCAACGCAATCCTTCATCACCGAAATCACCACACCGCTTTATTATAATTTTCAAATCTTTCAATCAATCATCCAAGGCATTCAAGGTCTGCACTTGCGTTCGTGCTGATAATATAACATCATTAATACCAACTCCATCATATGCTGCACCACATAATGTCAGCGGTAGTTTATATTGATTTATGTATCGCCTTATGTCGGCTACACGTTGCTTATGTCCCACCGTATATTGTGGTATGCACTTTTTTAAAACGTGTACCCGTGACAATCGTGGTTCATCTTTTATCCCCATAACCAGTTGCAGATGCTGCAAAGCTGTGTCCAGAAGCTTTTTTGGTGTGGGCTCCTTACCAAAATTCTCCTCAAACCAACGTCCTCCCATCATTACTGTAAGTACCGTATTGCCCTCCATGTCAAAGCAACAACTGTCAAAGATAACACCCAATATAGGCAGCCTTTCAATGGGCGGCACTAAGAAACCAAATGCTTTCATCTTAAACAGTTCCTCCGTGTTATATTGTAAGTTAACTACAGCAACATCAACGTAGGGTATAGACATCAACAATGCTGCCAATGAAGGATGTTGATTTTTCACACAGGAAGCTAACTTGTAAGAAGGTAAGGATGAAATTACACGTTTCAGGGCAATGTCACGCCCTTTAACATTCATTTTAACACCATCACGTGAAAATGTGATCTCTCGACACTCAGCTGAGAGCTGAATATTAACGTTCTTTCCTCGCAAATGATTACTCAGTGTGCGTGGCAACGTTTCCAACCCATCAGGTACCCGGTACATACTCCACTTTTCTTCACGCGCCTTTTCGTACAGCCTGGGCATTGCTTCCGCAAAGATACCTTCGATAGCCGTGTTTTGTTTCTTACCAAAGAGTTTTTCGAATAGCATACCCTTAATAATGCCACCCCATTTTTGTTCCTTCTCAAATAGGTCGTTCATCAGAAAACGCACGCTTATCTCTTTTGCGTCACCAGCACAGATGCCACATATCAATGGGCTGATTGCGTAGTTGGCTAATTCAGCGCCAAAGCGGCGTTCAACGAAATCATATATAGATTCGTCTGCGAACTTTAACTTTTTTCTACCTGCCCGTAAATCTTGCGTGATCTGACTTATCAGCGGTTTTGAGAACGGTGGTAATGTCTTGAAAACTCCGCTCAGACTATTGGGTAGCATACATAATTGTCCTTTAGCGTATATCATGCGATTCTTTGCAGCAGGCTGCCAAGCCAACACTGGGTCAACCGGCAACTGTAGTTCTTCTATTAATTTGAGGGTATTTGCGCCAGGTATACCCTTTGGTCGTATTGTGCGTGGGCCCACTTCGAACAAGAAACCCTTATCCCTATGTCTTTCTGTGCGTATCCAACCGCCGACTCTATTGGAGGACTCGTATATAGTTGCAGGATATCCAAATCGCTGAAGCAGATAGTAAGCAGCCGATAGACCACTCATACCAGCACCTAACACAGTGGTCATTTTGTTAATAGAAAACGATTCTAAATTACGAAATCAAGCAGCAGAACTGCAATAGAAAAATTAGCTTCGTTTCCTGTGAAAAAAAAGCAAAACTTCACAGTAAAAACGACAATCGGCACCTTTGTTTTGTTTATGATTTGTTTTGCTTTTATTTGTTGATAAGCGGCCCAGCTGATTTGTGGGCATTGATGGTGGGAAGTTGGTTAATCAAAACCACAGCGGCGGGAAGCTTTAAAAGTACAACGAATTGTTAGGTGCAATCCCGTATTCCTCGGACACGGACTAGTAAAACTGCCAAAAAATAAAAATTCGCTCAGAGCGAGAGAGTAACAGTGAAAAGTACGGGATCGCTTTCTAGTAAAAAATGGTAACTTCTGTCAACTTCAACATAACCTCCAAATTTTGGTTGTAAATAGGTTTGTTCGTCGAAAATCCAGCAAGAATTATCCAACACTCAAAATATCAGAGAGTAAGAAAAAATTCTCTCAAATTCTCTCTCATGTTGAGAAACTTGCCAATTTCTGCACGAACGCAAATTTGCAGGAATTTGCAAGTTTCGCTGCCAGCTGGCGTCCACGGTTGCATTTCAAACATAAACAATTTTTATAGAATTTTTAAAATTCTTTCGGATGGCCAAAAACAGGATATACATGTATATTTCTTGTTGTTCTGACTTTCTTTAACATACATTTCAATTTCTTCATCGTACTAGCTGTCGGGTTTCTTAAATCGACTCTGGTTGCAATTGCATTCCGATTGCGAATACCATTTTTTTCAGCCGAATTAAGTTCAAATCATTGGAATTAACTAAATTAATTATATCAACAATTATTTACTTCCTTTTTTCATAAAAAAATCGCTCGTGTTTATAAATTTTTAAATTTAACGAACTAATTTATTCAAATTATTGTAGACAAAAATGCAACCATGCGCCACAACCACATGTTTTTCGTGTTTGCAAATTCTTGCTGGCAAAATTTTTTCCAGCAAGAATTTGCAACTTCTCTCCAAGAGAACTGTCACTTTGCTCTCACAATTTTTGAGTGTTGGATAATTTTTTGGTCTGCACGAACGCGATTTGGGCAAAAATCGTGATAATTCGTACAAATTCGTACAAATTTTTTGCTCGACGAACAAACCTAATTTTTGTTTATTTTGTATATAAACACACTTAGCTCACACATGTAAGGTCGGTGTTATGCAGAAATTTTGTTTGGCAAACTGCGTGCAATTGTTGTTGCAGCAAACTCGGAGAGAGCGAGTTTGGCGACTCTCACAGCAAACTAATTTTGTTTGGTCAAACTGCAGCAAATTCGGTGTTGTTATATACAAAAATTTTAAATTTTGCGCGTTATGTACATCTGAAATTCTCATTTCGTGTTGGCAATAGCCATGAAAACCATAATGAACGTGCAACCCTGTGCCAAACTCGACATAACCACCTCCGAGCAAACTAAACAGCCGCCATTTAATTTGGCAAACAAAAGTTTGTCGGCATAACACCGACCTAAATATCCAAAAATACTTTCAAATTATTAGAATCCACTTAAACAAGTAGTTAAATACTTTTCAACATGAATTAGCAGAGTGCACTTTTCTTTTGTGCACAATTTGGTTGCCAAACACACTACAGCTGATCGTTTGACACATTTACCAGAATTTACCAGCAAAAAATTCTTGGACTAAAACTGGTAACTTCTGACAGAGAGAGAACCGTATTTACTCTCTTTTTTGTCCTCTCAATAGTCAGAGAACTGAGTACAGGATCGATTCCTAGTAAATTCTGACTGATTCTGACTAGTCCGGACTCGTACGGGATCGCAACTATTTTATGTGAAAAAATCTTGAAGCTAAAGAACGTAAACAGATTTACGATCTTTGTCAAAATGAGGGGTGTGACAAAAAATGAAACGAACCTTGCCGTTCGGATTCGGTTCATTAGTTTGGCACTGTAACCGTCTAAGCGATTTCGGCCGCGTTTAATAAGGATACAATTCTCTCCTCTTCTATGAAATCTGATGCTAATTGGAAATGTTTAATGAAGCCAATTCCTTCTCCGCTCGGCCATTTCATCGCAGACCATGCAGATGCTGAAAAAGCTAGGACCTTCGGGACTCCACCGTATTGAACCCTGATTGACCCCCCGCGAATTGGAAAATATTATTTATAGCATTATTCCACTTCTTAAGCCAGGGAAGGAGGCGGAAGCAGGATACTCATAGGCCCATCTCCTTCCTATCCACAGTGGATATTGAAAGCACCACTTCTCTACAACCTGACGAAGCATCTGGAACTAGCTTTAAAAACCATCATAACACAGATAAGCGAGGGTCTGAGCCAACGTCGACCTGGTAATAAGACGATCCTAGTCGTAGTTGAACTGTCAAAAGAATTCAACACAGTGAACCACTGTGAACTCTTCGCCAATGCGTTCCCCTTGACAGCCGGTTCTAAGTAACCGGAACGACCCAGATTCATATCTAGCCAAGGACTGTCACTTCAGCATCACTTCCCAAAAACTCTGCGGAATTCGTATGCGTTACAACAACAACAACTCTTTGCCAAGATGTTTTAGATTTGTCCCTTCCAGTTTGGACGAAGCGATGGATAACGACATATTTGTGTGAATGCCAATCATAGGACAAATTACGAAACGCCAAGTCCAAAACGCCTATAATTAAAAAGGGGTCCCTCAAGGCATCGTACTTTCACCATTACGGTTTAAGCATTACAAAGCAAAACTCCCTCCACCTCTGGCTGGAGTTAACTTGGATAGCTACACCGATAATTACACGGGCCCCAACATCGACAGCCTTTGCGGAAAAATCACTGACCACCTTCATTAGCAGGCTTGTACTGAATGTCCACATCGATGGCGCCAAGATACCGACGGTCAATCAGTCCAAAATCCTGGTAGTCACGATCAATAGCCATTTCTTATTATCTATCCTGCCACCTGTAACAAACGGCACGCCAGGAACAAAGTTATGAAGTCAAAAGCAGGAAGTACATGGGGAGTCGACAAATAGGCGCTGCTCAAAACATATGTATAAAGTGATCTGCCGGTCAGTGGCTAACTCAGCAGCGCCAGTGTAATAGGCAGGAACGAGCGCTGTGGAGCCACTTACGCTGTGGAGCCACTTACAAACCTGCCGGAATGACAGAACGTACATGGCTACAGGCTGCAATCTCATGTCATCCGCGCATCACCACCACGAAGAAAGCCAGCTTCTAGCTCCGAAAGAGCACAAAACCATGCAATGCCTAGTAGGATGTCACGAAAATCATCCCAACAAGGCTTTGCTTCGCAACGATCCGTCCTCTCGACATGTGAGACAGCTACTGTGCGACTGGACGAATCGAAGTATAGAGCGGCAATATGCCGAGAAAGATCACCTGAATCCTATCCCAACTCAGTTCATTGTGGTGCCAAAGGCTCGACCGCTACCTTTCTCGGCACAACTCAGAAGTGGAAAACCCAAGCATATCTTCGCATGCACCTCCAACCCGAAAACCCTGGCATCAGAATCACCATGAACTGTGCCTATCGATGTCGCCTGCTTTCTCGTCCTGGGGCTAGCAGAGCCTGAGGATGAAGATAACTCATGACAAGATCCCGGAAGGTTTGAGCAATCAGTGGCGGATTTACAGATACGCCCTAGTTGGTCTGGCCTTGAAAAGAAAACATGACAAAGTCCCTTCTGACAATGCACAAAGCGTCTTCACGTATAGGGACACAAGTGATTCTTGGCAGTTAGTAAAGGACTTTGTTTATTTTGGATCCAGCATGAAGAAGCGAAGAATAACTCTTTCCAACAGGTGCCACCTTGGACTCGAGAGGCAATTTCAATACAAATCTCTCATCATGTTCGTCGTTTTGTCTGGCAAACAAAAGGGGTTGGTGTGGAACAAAGATGAGAAGGCTTTAGCGGCAAGGTCTAGGGCCATGCTCGTGTTTGACGAGTAATGGGGCAATGGATGGAAAGCGAAGCGCACGTACACAGTTCAATGACAAAGTACAGAAATATTTTTGGTCTCGGGCAAAATAAGAAGAAAAAAGGTAGATATATAGGCTGCTAATTAAAAAGGCCTGTGCACCGCGGTCCTCACAACATCTCAT